CTTTTATATTTATTAAATCTTTTAGCTTCTATATTTCAATTGTTTTTGTTGTTTTATTGTTGATATATTCAGTGAGGCTTCCAGCTGATTGTTGTCCAGAATTATCCCTAAAAATTTTGTTTCATAAACTTTTGCTAGCATTTAACCAATTTTAGCTTTTAATAATTTTTGTTTTCAACTGKCTTATACAGCTAGCCATTTGCTACTACTAGCCATTATTTACTTTTTTGCTAATTTTAGCTTTTAGCATTGTCTACTTTTGTTGTTTAATACTTATAGCTTTCAGCGAGTCTTTTGTTTGTTTGGTAATTAGATAGWAGAACTTTGCAAATTTTAGTCTTTTGATGCTACTTTTGTTTTTTTTGAGAAATTACATTTAGCCAGTTTCAGCTTATAGTTAACATTTTGATACATTAGATTTAAACAAGCCATGGCCTACTTTAGCTTCCAGGTATATTTTTGATGCTTTTGCTAGCATTGTGCTACTTTTAGCTTATAATTAGCCTTTTGGTACGTTTTGTTTTTAACTAGCCTTTTACTATTTTAGCCAGACATTTGCTACAACTAGCTTTTATTTAGTCTTGTGCTGATTTTAGCTTTTAGCTAACAATTTTGTGCTTTTATTTTAGCTTATTTAGTTAAGATTTTTGTTCAGCTAGCTTTTAGCTACTCTTCTGCTTTTTTATTCATTTGTTTTTAACAACTCTGTTTCAGCTTCCTCAGTGGATTTCAGCTGAATWGTTTGACAGATTTTTACAAACCTGTCCATAAAGTCCTGATGAGACAGACTGGACCCGTCCAGAACATCGATGTTGCAGAACCCTTCATCCTCTAACCTGAAGTCTGAAGGCAGAGACCTGAACACAGACAGAGCATCAGAACCTGCTGAGAGGGTCCTGGGTTCAACCAGGGTCCGTAAACTCACCACCCGCCTCCGTCTTCAGCACTCAGGCCGGAAATCAGACACAAAACAAAGAAGTGAGCTGCTGTAGTTCCCATAAAAACCTTCCAGCTGCGGGTTTAACTCAGACCTGAGGAGAAAACCGTCTGTTTGGGTTTCATATCACCGGTAAACACCGGCTGCTTCCTGACTTCCTGTCTGAGAACCAATCAGAAAGCTCCACATTAATCCGAACCCTGCTGCCTTCACAGACCATCGTAAATCTCAGTTTTTAACAGCTCAAGCTTCAAAGCTGCTTCAGACTGAATCATGTTCAACATTACCAAGTGAGTGCAGATGAGACCCAAAACAAGCTACTTTAGCATCTTCTCAGCTGTTTTAGCTGTTTATATAAGAACGCTCAGGTTGTTCAGCTGATTGATGCCACGATTTTACATTTCTAAAACACCTAAATAAATTTAAATAACTCACTTCTTGTGTTATTGAATAAGAATTTTTAATGCTTAGCTTTTAGTTCAGCTAAATTCAAGTTTGAATTATAATTTTGATAACTTTGAACTGTTGTTTTATGTTTTTAATAAGGCTTTGTAATTTCAGCTGTTAGTTCAAATCTTAGTAACTTTAGAATTTAACTCTTTTGTTGTCCAAGATTTGAGCTACTATGTTTCTTATTGTGGGTTATGCTCATATTTTTCTGTTAGTGCTATTTTAGCTTTAAGCTTTTTTTTAAGCTATAGCTACTGTTTTACTGACTTTAGATTTTATTTGCAATTAAGACTCAAGTTTTGATCTGAGCTCACTGACCATTGTTACCAACTCCTCCGTATGAAAAGTCTCTATTGGCAGTCAGAGTGTGACGTTTATCACAGACATCTGCATCATTTATTTTTATCTATTTCAAAACAGCAGCCAGGGTTTACAATGATATTCTTATGGCAAAAGATTCTGGTCACTTTGTGGTCCTGGTGCTTCTGGACCTGACTGCAGCTTTGATACTGTTGACCACAGTTTCCTGTTGTCACGTTCAGAACACTGGGTTGGGATCAAAGAAGAAGCACTAGACTGGTTTCATTCCTACCTAAGTGCAGACGTTTTAGTGTTAATGTTGGAAACTTCTTTTCTGCCTCAGAGCCTCTTTCCTGTGGGGTTCCACAGGGATCGATTCTTGGACCACTTTTGCTTTCTTTATACCTGTTTCCTTTAGGGTCTGTTCTAAGGAAACATGGTGTCTTTTCATTGGTATGCCGATGACAGAAATCAAGAAGACTAAATCAAGAATAGAAAAATAAATAAAATGGAACTCTACTCGGCCAGCAGTGAGTTTAAAACCAGGATGATTCATGGACTAGTTGATGTCTCTAAAATAGTTATGGAATCAAGTGTTTATATATAGGTAAAAATAYGTTTAGCAACMTRTTAAAATACTCCAGAATGCAGGAAACAGCATCTAATTTCATCAAAATTTCCTGGGGGAGAACCCCCAGACCCCCCACCAGTGTGCTCTCCACACACACTGCARTGCTTCTAATGGCCATTAGTAGCAGCAAAGACAAGTATAGTAGGAGCACTTGTGTAAAAGTGGTGCCTGTGTGTGTTGTGTGTTTTCAACTACTAGGTTTGACTGAATGCAAGAAGATGACAAAAAAAACCCTCAAAAGACCCCTGAAAAATGTGTCCCCCTCACTTCTGAGATGGTGATTGCAACCTTGTTAATATGCTTATATGTCTATGAATAAAAGACAATGTAAAAACACGAACAAGCATAAAAGAGGGTTATTTATTCTTAAATTACTCAAAACAATATTCAAACCAAACTCCATTAAAAAATCTGCTACAATAATAATTGTACATATCGTTTTTGCGAGCAAGCATATTAAAATAATGCATCAAGCTAATAATAAAAAACTATAATAATAAAAACTACTTTTTAATGCAGGCTGTCTATGGC